TCCTTCCTCATGATGCCATCTATTTTGTGAAGTGCACCAGTCCCTCCTGCAGCAAAGCACCCCCACAGCATGATGCTTCCACCCCGTGCTTCACGGTTGGGATGGTGTTCTTTGGCTTGCAAGCCTTCCCCTTTTTCCTCCAAACATAACGATGGTCATTAAGGCCAAACATTTCTATTTTTATTTCATCAGACCAAAGGACATTTCTCCAAAAAGTCTGGCTTTTTTATGGCGGTTTTGGAGCAGTGGCTTCTTCCTTGCTGAGCGGCCTTTCAGGTTATGTCGACATAGGACTCGTTTTACTGTGGATATAGATACTTTTGTACCTGTTTCCTCCAGCAACTTCACAAGGTCCTTGGCTGTTGTTCTGGGATTGATTTGCACTTTTCGCACAAAAGTACGTTCATCTCTAGGAGAGAGAACGCGTCTCCTTCCTGAGCGGTATGACGCTGCATGGTCCAATGGTGTTTATACTTGCGTACTATTGTTTGTACATATGAACATGGTACCTTCAGGCGTTAGGAAATTGCTCCCAAGGATGAAACAGACTTGTGGAAGTCTACAAATTTTTTCTGAGGTCTTGGCTGATTTATTTTTATTTTCCCATGATGTCAAGCAAAGAGGCACTGAGTTTTAAGGTAGGCCTTGAAATAGATCCACAGGTACACCTCCAATTGACTCAGTGAATTTTAAGTGAAATAATCTGTCTGTAAACTTGAGTCAGGCACAAAGTAGATGTCCTAAACGACTTGCCAAAACTATACTTTGTTAAAAAAAAGAATTGTGGAGTGGTTGAAAAACGAGTTTTAATGACTCCAACCTAAGTGTATGTAAACTTCTGACTTCAACTGTATATGGGGTAATTTAGCAATTAGGATTTGTTATCTGTAATGGTTATGATAAATTAGGCATTGATGCGCACTGTAGGCATATACAGTGAGGGAAAAAAGTATTTGATCCCCTGCTGATTTTGTACGTTTGCCCACTGACAAAGAAATGATCAGTCTATAATTTTAATGGTAGGTTTATTTGAACAGTGAGAGACAGAATAACAACAAAAATGTTATAAATTGATTTGCATTTTAATGAGGGAAATAAGTATTTGACTCCATCTCAATCAGAAAGATTTCTGGCTCCCAGGTGTTTTTTATACAGGTAACGAGCTGAGATTAGAAGCACACTCTTAAAGGGAGTGCTCCTAATCTCAGCTTGTTACCTGAATGAAAGACACCTGTCCACAGAAGCAATCAATCAATCAGATTCCAAACTCTCCACCATGGCCAAGACCAAAGAGCTCTCCAAGGATGTCAGGGACAAGATTGTAGACCTACACAAGGCTGGAATGGGCTACAAAACCATCGCCAAGCAGCTTGGTGAGAAGGTGACAACAGTTGGTGCGATTATTCGCAAATGGAAGAAACACAAAATAACTGTCAATCTCCCTCTGCCTGGGGCTCCATGCAAGATCTCACCTCGTGGAGTTGCAATGATCATGAGAACGGTGAGGAATCAGCCCAGAACTACACGGGAGGATCTTGTCAATGATCTCAAGGCAGCTGGGACCATAGTCACCAAGAAAACAATTGGTATCACACTACGCCTTGAAGGACTGAAATCCTGCAGCTCCCGCAAGGTCCCCCTGCTCAAGAAAGCACATATACAGGCCCGTCTGAAGTTTGCCAATGAACATCTGAATGATTCAGAGGAGAACTGGGTGAAAGTGTTGTGGTCAGATGAGACCAAAATCGAGCTCTTTGGCATCAACTCAACTCGCCGTGTTTGGAGGAGGAGGAATGCTGCCTATGACCCCAAGAACACCATCCCCACCGTCAAACATGGAGGTGAAAACATTATGCCTTGGGGGTGTTTTTCTGCTAAGGGGATAGGACAACTTCGCCGCATCAAAGGGACGATGGACGGGGCCATGTACCGTCAAATCTTGGGTGAGAACCTCCTTCCCTCAGCCAGGGCATTGAAAATGAGTTGTGGATGGGTATTCCAGCATGACAATGACCCAAAACACACGGCCAAGGCAACAAAGGAGTGGCTCAATAAGAAGCACATTAAGGTCCTGGAGTGGCCTAGCCAGTCTCCAGACCTTAATCCCATAGAAAATCTGTGGAGGGAGCTGAAGGTTTGAGTTGCCAAACGTCACGCTCGAAACCTTAATGACTTGGAGAAGATCTACAAAGAGGAGTGGGACAAAATCCCTCCTGAGATGTGTGCAAACCTGGTGGCCATCTACAAAAAACGTCTGACCTCTGTGATTGCCAACAAGGGTTTTGCCACAATGTACTAAGTCATGTTTTGCAGAGGAGTCAAATACTTATTTCCCTCATTAAAATGCAAATCAATTTATAACATTTTTGACATGCGTTTTTCTGGATCTTTTTGTTGTTATTCTGTCTCTGAATATTCAAATAAACCTACCATTAAAATTATAGACTGATCATTTCATTGTCAGTTGGCAAACGTACAAAATCAGCAGGGGATCAAATACTTTTTTCCCTCACTGTATATTTGAAATTCACTACTCAACTGAGGGACTTTACAGATAATTGTATGTGTGGGGTACAGAGATGAGGTAGTCATTCAAACATAATATTAAATACTATTATTGCACACAGAGTGAGTCCATGCAACTTCTTATGTGACGTGTTAAGCACATTTTTACTCCTGAAAGTATTTACGCTTACCATAACAAACGCGTTAAATAATTATTGACACTTTTGCAGCAATTAAAGCTGCAAGTCTGTTAGGGTATGTCTCTATAAGATTGGCACATCTAGCCACTGGGATTTTTGCCCATTCTTCAAGGCAAAACTGCTCCAGCTCCTTCAAGTTGGATGGTTTCCGCTGGTGTACAGCAATCTGTAAGTCATACCACAGATTCTAAATTGGATTGAGATCTGGGCTTTGACTAGGCCATTCCAAGATATTTTAATGTTTCCCCTTAAACCACTCAAGTGTTGCTTTAGCAGTATGCTTAGGGTCGTTGTCCTGCTGGAAGGTGAACCTCCGTCCCAGTCTCAAATCTCAAAAAGACTGAAACAGGTTTCCCTCAAGAATTTCCCTGTATTTAGCGCCATCCATCATTCCTTCAATTCTGACCAGTTTCCCAGTCCCTGCTGCTGAAAAACATCCCCACAGCATGATGCTGCCACCACCATGCTTCACTGTGGGGATGGTGTTCTCGGGGTGATGAGAGGTGTTGGGTTTGTGTAAGACATAGCGTTTTCCTTGATAGCCAAAAAGCTACATTTTTGTTTAATCTGACAAGAGTACCTTCTTCCATATGTTTGGGGAGTCTCCCACATGCCTTTTGGCGAACACCAAACGTGTTTGCTTATTTCTTTCTTTAAGCAATGGCTTTTTTCTGGCCACTCTTCCGTAAAGCTCAGCTCTGTTGAGTGTACGGCTTAAAGTGGACAGATACTCCAATCTCCGCTGTGGAGCTTTGCAGCTCCTTCAGGGTTATCTTTGGTCTCTTTGTTGCATCTGTGATTAATGCCCTCCTTGCCTGGTCCGTGAGTTTTGGTGGGTGGCCCTCTCTTGGCAGGTTTTTGTGTGCCATATTCTTTCCATTTTTTAATAATGGATTTAATGGTGCTCTGTGGGATGTTCAAAGTTTCTGATAAAAAACATGTATAACCTAACCCTGATCTGTACTTCTCCACAACTTTGTCCCTGACCTGTTTGGAGAGCTCCTTGGTCTTCATGGTGCCCCTTGCATAGTAGTGTTGCAGACTCTGGGGCCTTTCAGAGCATGTGTATATATCCTGAGATCATGTGACAGATCATGTGACACTTAGATTGCACACAGGTTTACTTTATTTACCTAATTATATGACTTCTGAAGGTAATTGGTTGCACCAGATCTTATTTAGGGGCTTCATAGCAAAGGGGGTGAATACATATGCACGCACCACATTTCCATTATTAATTTTTTAGAATTTTTTTTAACAAGTTTTTTTTTAAATTTCACTTCACCAATTTGGACTATTTTGTGTATGTCCAGTACATGAAATCCAAATAAAAATCCATTTAAATTACAGGTTGTAATGCAACAAAATAGGAAAAACACCAAGGTGTGATGAGGTGGTGATGAAGGAGTCAGGCGCAGGAGGGTAAATAACAGGCTGTAATCCGCAAAATACAGGTTTACGCAGAAATGCGTCAAACAGAACTCCAGGGCACAAAACAGGCGCACTGGAAAATACAAGGCACACGGGAAATACTCCCGTTGAAGACAAGACAAATGGAGTGATGATAAATGGATCGGCAGTAGCTAGTAAGCCGGTGACGCCGAACCTGCCCGAACAAGGAGGGGAGGCAGCCTCGGCGGAAGTCGTGACACAAGGTGGATGAATACTTTTGCAAGGTACTGTATGTGTAGGCCAGTGACACAACATATCAATTTAACCCATTTTAAAGGCTGTAACACAACAAAATGTGGAAAAAGTCAAGGGGTGTGAATATTTTCTGAAGCTAAATATTTGTATAATGTAATTATAGGTCACCCTTTTTCGTTTATTTCAGGGTTTATCAAAAACATCCGCAAACTGCAATACTCAATGGACAAAAAAACGTTTCAGTTTCTCCTCATCGCTCAGCCACGTAATGCCAGGGTATTTCATTCTCTATCTCTTCGAGGTCACCATAGTTACATAGTCTTTCCTCCTCCACAGTCAGACTGTTGGAAAAGGTCAGACATTTTGGCTGTACAGGCTCACCCTATGGAGAAATCCCACTGAAAAACTTTGCTGGCTATTCTGGCAATTGGCATATCCAACAGTCTATTCCAAAGTCTCACCATGCACGCTTTCCATCTCACCTCACAGGGTTCCCAGCCCATGTCCCCAGTTATTGCCAGTATAGGTGCAAACTTGTGGACATTTAAAAAATGATGTACTGCGCTGTTTGCATGTCTGTTAATGTATAAGTATAATGTACAATATGGAATTATATTATTAAGATATGTTCAATATTTTAAGTTCCTACTATACGAAGCTGTCTTGTTTTTCAATAACTGTAATCACTGAATTATATACAACATTTTGGTAGCTATTGCTTTTTATCTGTGTGATATAGAACTTCAGAGTCGCAATGCAAATCTGCAGAACTCATGATGAAGTGAAAGCCCAGTTCCAGGAACAGACGCATTGTGTGAGAATGGCGTTTGCACTGGCTTCCAGGTCTGGGCTGTGCTGTGCGCGAGCATGTGCATGTGTTTGTGCATGCCTGTGTGTGTAAGAGTTGGAGCAGCATGAATGAAGTGGTCGTTTTTGGGAAACAGGGCCAGGCAGGTAGGCAGGCCGATGAGATGATTCAGTGGGGTGTACCAGCATCCCAGTCCCACTCCCCAGGAATGTCTGGCATTCCTCCATCCCAGCAGGGGGTCCTGATCCCTCTGGCCGTCTGTGGAGATCTCCGGGTGATCAGGCCCCCCTGACAGCCAGCCATCCTGGGAGAGAGAGGAGGGACACATGGCTGATGAAAGAGGAATCACCCACCAAGAGTTAATTTCGTCAACAAAAATAGTTACTAAAATATTCGTCAAACACCTATTTTTCACTGGCAATTGACGAGACTGACTAAATAGACCCAGAAAAAACTATAACTAAACGAAAATGATTGTTTATTTCAGTTGACTAAAACAAGACAAAATTATCTCTGTGACTAAAATCTGACTACTAATTTGACTTTTGGAGAGATTGAGAGCTTTTCAGTGATAAGCACAATTAATATTAGCAGCACAGATGCGCAGCGCAGTTCTGTTCAGCAGTGGGAAGGACGCGCCTCAACCTTCACACACAGCCTAGCCTACATCAGCTGGTGAGCTGCGGGGGAGCAAGCGATGAGTGTGGGCAGACAGGCAGGCAGGCTCCACTCCGGCTCCGTCTCCAATTACACATATTGCGCAGGCAACTCTCTTGCTACTCCGTAGCTAACTAGTCACCACCAGCCTTCTAGTTCGATACCCTTTGCCTGGTTAAGAAACACAAGCTGCTTTACAAAATTAAAAACAATAGCAGCATTAAGTTTAATAGTAAAACAACAGTTTAGATATGTTTTTCTCTCCCTTGAGTATAAAAAGGTTTTTGAATTTGAGGTCTCGTACTTTCCCTATTGCATTTCATAGCCAGGTTCTGTAGCCAATGTACTAGCCAAGTCTCCTTTTTTTCTCAGAGAAAACAGCTTGAGTCTAGCCATTACTGTTCAAAAGATATGACCCATAATACCGGTGCTACGGTTATTTATTTATACCGTGCATTGGCTGGCCGCATTTTACATTCATAAAGCACATACCAGGCTGTTCTAAAACTACGCTACTTGCGGACCAGACCTTTAACCATTTGCTTAGGCTACACCTTCTTCAGTCATGTTACCTCATTAGCTAGCTATAGCTAACAACCTTGGGTGCGTTCAGCGGGACACAATGTTTTGGAATGTTCCGAAAAATGCTATGTAGAACAAACTTGCCTCTCTGACATATACATATATAAGGAATAACATTGGCTTTATTCATGGGTTTCTATCTGCAGCGTTCAATAACTTTTTGCAGCTCACCGTGGCCTGGTAATATTACCAGTAGCCTATTATGCAAACATTTGGTGGCACAGAAAGAAAGTAAAATAGATAGCCAACCACTACACTATATCTAAATGAGTAAATAACTTCATTTTGTGTTGATGTGGACCCAGTGACTCAGACTTGAGCACTTGGACCAGGACTCGAGCACGGGGACTCGGATTTCAGCCATAGGGACTCGTGACTCGACTCTTGACTTGACCATTGGTGACTCAGACTTGGACTTGAGTACAGGTGTCTTGGTACTCGATTCGGACTCGAGGTTTAGTGACTCGACTATATCACTGAGCGAAACAGTCATTAGCTCCCATTCAGTCATTAGCCCCTGTTCGACTTTTGGACATCAATGTGGCTGCGGCGTCTGTGGAACGTTGATAACAATGACAATGTGACGGAGGTGCAACCCATACTACACTGAACAAAAATATAAACGCAAAATGTAAAGTGTTGGTCCCATGTTTCATGAGCTGAAATAAAACATCCCAGAAATGTTCAATATGCACAAAATTCTTATTTCTCTCAAATGTTGTGCACGATTCTTTTTACATCCCTGTTAGTGACCATTTCTTCTTTGCCAAGATAACCCTCCACCTGACAGGTGTGGCACTTCAAGAAACAGCATTATAATTACACAGATGCACCTTGTGCTGGGGACAATAAAAGGCCTATCTATAATGTGCCATTTTGTCACACAACACAATGCCACAGACGTCAGAAGTTTTGAGGGAGCGTGCAATTGGCATGCTCACATCAGGAATGTCCAACAGAGCTGTTGCCAGATAATTTAATGTATATTTCTCTACCATAAGCCACCTCCAACGTCGTTTTAGAGAATTTGACAGTACGTCCAACCAGCCTCACAACCGCAGACCACGTGTATGGCGTCGTGTGGGCGAGTGGTCTGCTGATGTCAACGTTGTGAACAGAGCGCCCCATGGTGGCGGTGGGGTTATGGTATGGGCAGGCATAAGCTACGGACAACGAACACAATTGCATTTTATCGATGGCAATTTGAATGCACAGAGATACCGTGACGGGATCCTGATGCCCATTGTCGTGCCACTCATCTGCCGCAAGGATCTGTACACAATTCCTGGAAGCTGAAAATGTCATTATCCTGCCATTACCAAGATCTTCGCCAGGAGTCAGGACCAACTGACTGTCCTTAGTAACAGGTAACATTATTAACTAACAAGCTGAGTATTTCGATCCTGCATAAACTATATAGCAACTTGACACAAACAGCCATAAACCCTGGTTTTGTCATGCAAGGCATTTTGTTAGGCTTCTATTGTCAAGTGCTTGCTGTCAGTGAGTGAAATAGTGGGACAAGACACAAGACAACACTGATGAAAGCCTCTCACCTGGGAGTTGACTGTGACTGAGAGACGGTAGATAAGAGCCATACAGGCAGGTCAAAGTTCTCATATCCACTGTTCAGTGTGAGATGACAGAACAACACAGTGAATCACTGTCATGTACTTCAGCCTGAGGTTGTAAACAGGAATATTGTGAAATGTCATAAACACCAGTGACTTTCTAGGGCCAAAGTGTAAGTTATATGAAGGCATTATAACTGAAACTATGACGTGAAATAAATGCCACGTTGTTTTTTTCTCTAGTTTATATTAGGTTACAGCAGGGCATTTCCATGTAAAATTCCCCATGAGCACTAACATGTTAAGTTCATAGGAACACATCAAATTTGATGTAAAAATCAAAGCTAAGATTTTTATATTTTTGAGAAATTAAGGTATAAAGACATTTTTCAACTATTTTCCATCCCCAAAATTTGGAAAAAGCAAAGGCTTTGATTTCTGGTAAAACAGATGGAAAAGGTGATTTTCCTGTTTTTTAAATGATATTTTCACACTATGAAGTCGAAATAACACTCTGAAATTGTGCGTATTATGATAATGCCCTTTTTGTGTAAGAGCTGTTTAAAAAAAAGGCCTGAAATTTCAGCCTGTTCAGGTGTGATAGAACTTCTGGCCCACATCATGACATCACAATGTGATCTGATTATAATAGACCAATGATTGTTCATCTGGGTAAGGGGGTGGGCTCTAGACCATCATATCAGCCAATCAGGGATGTGTATGTAAATATCTTCACATTTGTTTCCTAACGCCCACATGATCAGACTGAGCATTTCAAGGTCCAAAGTAGGCTCAGGAAAAGAAATTATTAAAAAAATATGTTGGAGTTATTTTCATTAAATAAATACACCCAGTGATTTATTGGACATACAGTGATGATTTAAAACTAAAATTACAAAGACTGCATGGGAGCTTTAAAAGGTATTAGAAATGCATCAAAACACAATAATGTTGAAGACCCCTGCCAACTAATATCAACATTTACAGTGTCTTCGGAAAGTATTCAGAGCCCTTTACTTTTTCCACATTTTGTTAGGTTACAGACATATTCTAAAATTGATTAAATTGTTTTTTTCCCCCTCATCAATCTACACACAATACCCCAATAACGGCAAAGCAAAAACATGCACTGTCAACTGTGGGACCTTATATAGACAATCAATTGAATTTACCACAGGTGGACTCCAATCAAGTTGTAGAAACATCTCAAGGATGATCAATGGAAACAGGATGCACCTGACCTTAATTTCATGTCTCATAGCAAAGGGTCTGAATACTTATGTAAATAACCTGTTTTCGCTTTGTCATTATGGGGTTTTGTGTGTAGATTGCTGAGGATTTTTATTTTTTTAATCCATGTAAGAATAAGGCTGTAACGTAACAATACTTGAATACTTTCCGAAGGCACTGTATATTTAGTTTTTCTGAAATGATTGGCCTTCTGTAAGTTTAAGAAATGGCTAGGCCACTCCAGGACCTTGAGATGCTTCTTACGGAGCCACTCCTTAGTTGCCCTGGCTGTGTGTTTCGGGTTGTTGTCATGCTGGAAGACCCAGCCACGACCCATCTTCAATGCTCTTACTGAGGGAAGGAGGTTGTTGGCCAAGATCTCGCGATACATGGCCCCATCCATCCTCCCCTCAATACGGTGCAGTCGTCCTGTCCCCTTTGCAGAAAAGCATCCCCAAAGAATGATGTTTCCACCTCCATGCTTCACACGTTGGGATGGTGTTCTTGGGGTTGTACTCATCCTTCTTCTTCCTCCAAACACGGCGAGTGGAGTTTAGACCAAAAAGCTGTATTTTTGTCTCATCAGACCACATGACCTTCTCCCATTCCTCCTCTGGATCATCCAGATGGTCATTGGCAAACTTCAGACGGGCCTGGACATGCGCTGGCTTGAGCAGGGGGACCTTGCGCTGCAGGATTTTAATCCATGACGGTGTAGTGTGTTACTAATGGTTTTCTTCTGGGCTGATCCCTCACCTTCCTCATGATCATTGATGCCCCACGAGGTGTGATCTTGCATGGAGCCCCAAACCAAGGGTGATTGACCGTCATCTTGAACTTCTTCCATTTTCTAATAATTGCGCCAACAGTTGTTGCCTTCTCACCAAGCTGCTTGCCTATTGTCCTGTAGCCCATCCCAGCCTTGTGCAGGTCTACAATTGTATCCCTGATGTCCTTACACAGCTCTCTGGTCTTGGCCATTGTGGAGAGGTTGGAGTCTGTTTGATTGAGTTTGTGGACAGGTGTCTTTTATACAGGTAACGAGTTCAAACAGGTGCAGTTAATACAGGTAATGAGTGGAAAACAGGAGGGCTTCTTAAAGAAAAACTAACAGGTCTGTGAGAGCTGGAATTCTTACTGGTTGGTAGGTGATCAAATACTTACGTCATGCAATAAAATGCAAATGAATTACTTAAAAATCATACAATGTGATTTTCTGGATTTTTGTTTTAGATTCCGTCTCTCATAGTTGAAGTGTACCTATGATAAAAATTACAGACCTCTACATGCTTTGTAAGTAGGAAAACCTGCAAAATTGGCAGTGTATCAAATACTTGTTCTCCCCACTGTATATTTAATACATACTAGCTTAAAAACATTTACAAATTATCAAATGGATTATGAAAAAGTGGAGGTGCAATTTATTTATTTATTTGCTCCATGACTCCAAGTGGACATAAGGCTGTTTGGCTCATCTCAGTCATGAAGAGGAATAACTTTGCAGTTGTTTCTAATTAGTAAACAATGCCATGCTGGTGGGTGGTAACATTCAAATAAAACCCAGCCCTGAAATGAAACGTAGGATGAAAATAATTTGTATGTCATATCATAGGAAAAGACACCGCATTCACACGGATTTCCATGAAGTGAGCAGTTTAGATTTGTCATTTCAAGCCCAATTATGTCATACTTTGACAAAAACGATGAATTCTTGACTTAAATAGTTGTGTAACATCATGGGTAAGCTCTGGCCATTGTCTTTCAGCTCGAAAAAGTGGATTTCTACTAGTGTGGCGTTTAACAGAGTTTTGGGAAAACATGGTAACATTAAAAACTGAGGGAGATTTTACCATAATTATTTCACCAAACATTTTACATTTGCACTGTTTTTCGAGTAAATGTGTTTTTGTAAAATGTTCAATGGAAACTGTTAAAAGTAGTTATTGTGCATAGAGTTGTATGGTTTGTTTAACTTTGCAATCAATGGTTTGTGTTTGGCATAATGTTATAGTCTCAGCGTCATTCTGTTATCGTGGAATTGCCCAGCTGTTGAATGCAATCAGGGGAAAAATAAATAGAGAAAGAGGAAGAGAATGGAAAGTTGCTGCTGTGCTGTATGCACAGTCAGTTTCACCAAAATGAATCCTAGGCAGAATCCTAGAGGAAAACCTGGTTCAGTCTTCTTTCCAACGACACCGGGAGACAAATTCACCTTTCAGCAGGACAATAGCCTAAAAGACAAGGCCAAATATACACTGGAGTTGCTTACCAAAACGACATTGAATGTTCCTGAGTGGCCTAGTTACAATTTTGACTTAAATCAGCTTGAAAATCTTTGGCAAGACTAGAGAATCTCTACCTATGATCAATAACCAACTTGACAGAGCTTTAAGAATTGTAAAAATAATAATGTGCAAATATTGTACAATCCAGGTGTGCAAAGACCTACCCAGAAATACTCACAGTTGTAATCACTGCCAAAGGTGATTCTAACATGTATTGACTCAGGGGTGTGAATACTTATCTAAATGAGATATTTCTGTATTTCATTTTCAATACATTTGCAAATATTTCTAAAAACATGCTTTCAGTTTGTAATTATGGTGTATTGTGTGTGTTTAAATAGATGTAATCTATTTTGAATTCAGGCTGTAACACAACAAAATGTGGAATAAGTCCAGGGGTATGGATACTTTCTTAAGGCACTGTATTACTAATCCTTTGCTTAGTTACTGTGAATGAGTCAATGGAATGAATACACACTAGCTATAGTTTCTCACTCGCTCGTTTCTGTGTAATTTGCACTTTTCTTGCATGAGGTTTGTTTGCAGAGAACATTAATGACCTAGACAAGCATGTGAATATGGCAATAATTTCCCACAATGAGGATGGGAATTAATACTAATAGATACATATAAAGTGAGGGGAAAAAGTATTTGATCCCCTGCTGATTTTGTACGTTTGCCCACTGACAAAGAAATGATCAGTCTATAATTTTAATGGTAGGTTTATTTGAACAGTGAGAGACAGAATAACAACAAACAAATCCAGAAAAACGCATGTCAAAAATTTTATAAATTGATTTGCATTTTAATGAGGGAAATAAGTATTTGACCCCCTCTCAATCAGAAAGATTTCTGGCTCCCTGGTGTCTTTTATAAAGGTAGCGAGCTGAGATTAGGAGCACACTCTTAAAGGGAGTGCTCCTAATCTCAGTTTGTTACCTGTATAAAAGATACCTGTCCACAGAAGCAATCAATCAATCAGTTTCCAAACTCTCCACCATGGCCAAGACCAAAGAGCTCTCTGAGGATGTCAGGGACAAGATTGTAGACCTACACAAGGCTGGAAGGGGCTGCAAGACCATCGCCAAGCAGCTTGGTGAGAAGGTGACAACAATTGGTGCAATTATTTGCAAATGGAAGAAACACAAAATAACTGTCAATCTCCCTCGGCCTGGGGCTCCATGCAAGATCTCACCTCGTGGAGTTGCAATGATCTTGAGAACGGTGAGGAATCAGCCCAGAACTACACGGGAGGATCTTGTCAATGATCTCAAGGCAGCTGGGACCATAGTCACCAAGAAAACGATTGGTAACACTCTACGCCGTGAAGGACTGAAATCCTGCAGCGCAAGCAAGGTCGCCCTGCTCAAGAAAGCACATATACATGCCCGTCTGAAGTTTGCCAATGAACATCTGAATGATTCATGGATTCAAGGAGAACTGGGTGAAAGTGTTGTGGTCAGATGAGACCAAAATGGAGCTCTTTGGCATCAACTCAACTCGCCATGTTTGGAGGAGGAGGAATGCTGCCTATGACCCCAAGAACACCATCCCCACTGTCAAACATGGAGGTGGAAACATTATGCTTTGGGGGTGTTTTTATACTAAGGGAACAGGACAACTTCACAGCATCAAAGGGACGATGGACGGGGCCATGTACCGTCAAATCTTGGGTGAGAACCTCCTTCCCTCAGCCAGGTCATTGAAAATGGGTCGTGGATGGGTATTCCAGCATGACAATGACCCAAAACACACGGCCAAGGCAACAAAGGAGTGACTCAAGAAGAAGCACATTAAGGTCCTGGAGTGGCCTAGCCAGTCTCCAGACCTTAATCCCATAAAAAATCTGTGGAGGGAGCTGAAGGTTCGAGTTGCCTAACTTCAGCCTCGAAACCTTAATGACTTGGAGAAGATCTGCAAAGAGGAGTGGGACAAAATCCCTCCTGAGATGTGTGCAAACCTGGTGGCCAACTACAAGAAACGTCTGACCTCTGTGATTGCCAACAAGGGTTTTGCCACCAAGTACTAAGTCATGTTTTGCAGAGGGGTCAAATACTTATTTCCCTAATTAAAATGCAAATCAATTTATAACATTTTTGACATGCGTTTTTCTGGATTGTATTGTTGTTATTTTGCCTCTCACTGTTAAAATAAACCTACCATTAAAATTATAGACTGATCATGTCTTTGTCAGTGGGCAAACATACAAAATCAGCAGGGGATCAAATACTTTTTTCCCTCACTGTACCACTGAGCACTGTACTTTTATTTGAATTGGGCCAAGCACAATGGCTGAGCTAACATATACAAACTCAAATCACACACACACACACACACACACACACACACACACACACACACACACACACACACACACACACACACACACACACACACACACACACACACAGTACTGTAACTGAGTCAATACCACAGTCAATAGTCCCTAAGATCATTTATCTTATCCACAGGAATCTACTATTCCAAAATAAAAGAAAGACATAGTATAATGGACAGGGGGCTTGCCACCGCATTCTAGAGTGAAGGTAAGCCTACTTGTAGCTGTAGGCACATGTGGGCCGTCAGTACTCCGCACAGGGACACACTGATCGAGTTTCTACCTGCTCAGGTGATCTGGGTGCTGTAACAGGATCCACAGCCACCTGGGGAGGGAGATATCCGATCTGACCCCACTGCTTGTCACCTGGTCTGGGTATGAGAGTACAGGGCGTGCCCTACTCCCTATGGACCCTGCTAAGTCCTGGTTCTGCATGGGAAACCAACAGGTTAAAGCACAATGGAGGTCTTATTTGTTGCCCAGGGGTAGAGACTTAATATGCTCCCCTCTCATTAGAGTCATGGGGAATTTACTGATTTTTGCGTGAGGCCGCTGGCAAAGGCATGGAGAGGGCTTTGACACCTCCTTCAAATTACAACTAAGCGTTTTGTTTACTCTGTCTCTGGTCTCTGGGTTTGATGAGTCCCTGCTTTGCCTTCAGAAGGTATTCACACCCCTTGACTTTTTCCAAATGTTGTTGTGTTAAAATGTGGGATTAAAATGGATTTAATTGTGATTTATTTTGTCAACCATCTACACAAAATACTCTAATGTCAAAGTGGAAGAACAATTCTAACATTTTAGAAAAATGTATACAAAAAAACACTAATATATCTTGATTACATAAGTATTCAACCCCCTGAGTCAATTAGGGCTGACCCCATTTAGTCTACTGGTTGATTGTTTGGTCGATAGGCTGTTGGTCGACCGATCATTTTTTTGTCTAGCAGTTGCAACCAAAAATATTTTTCGGCATGTCTTGATTGATGCCCGTCTCAGTGGACTAATCCATTGCGGAGGCCGCGGGGGTGGCACACCAGTATCACCAGTAGTACATTTACCGTTAATTCCCATAATTTCTAATCTACAATGTTTGTTTGGTTACCATAATTTCTGTTAATGCATTCAATATATTATTATTATTACAGTCTTATACAGTTCTCATTGTCGGAGTGGACACGTTGTTTGCAGAGCGCACAACCTAGGCTACACCTGTGAGAAACAAGTTTGGGTTTATTTAATTCCATTTATGAGTTGTCAATTTATTAATTGTGTTTTGTTTGGAACGCTACTGTCAATGTTGAGTAATTATGCATACAAGTAGGCTACCTGGCCTGCGTGCAAATGTAGGCTTATAAATTTGGGGATCTGATAGTATTTCTGATTGTCTTATCTCACCACCACTAATTAGCTGTGGAGCTTCTCAAAGTAATTTTTCCTTCACCTCAAACAGCAAGTAAACTAAGTCTGTTTTTACATCCATTGAGAATGACAATAGTTCCTCAATGTAGCCTATTTGAAAGATTGTTCCAGCTCTCTCCCTTTTGATAACCACTCAGAGTGAAAGGGGAAAAAAATGTCATGCTCTGATCAGGTGGAAACGTCATAAAATAGGCCTACCTGATTACTTCTTATCTCTTGCGCAAATAGCCCACAGCTGTGTCTGTGTGTGTCCGGAGCTCACTGGGACAGGAAACTCTTAGGGCCCAGAATATTTTATACAATATTTCAGGTTTGTTAGTGCAAGCTTTGGGCTGGACCAAGTTGATAGTTGATACAATGTTTCAAGTTCCTTGCAGACAGGCCATGCATAGCCAATGTGATTTATTTTTATCAGGATATTTTCTACCTGCAGGCTTTAATGCTTTATTTGTTTGCTTTATGTTAGCTATTTTTACATAGTTGGCAATAGAAGTTACTTTTAGATTTGTATAATTTTCATTTAGATTGAAATATATGTTTTATTATGAGATATGAAGACTTTATTATAAAATAAATGAAACTGTTCCACGAAAATGTGCATATGAAAATCATAACTGGCACGCAGGTCGGTAGAAATGGTTAAGATACATTGGCACTCCAAATGGAAAAGGTTGCCGACCCCTGGTGAAGTCTATTACCGGCATAATGGCAGAATCTGCAAAGGCCAGCAACAACGGGAGGAGGTGGTTCGGGAACAGCTTTTTTTCTTCTTGATCTCTGGCTCCCACAGTGTGCTTAAAGCATCAGACAAGCTCAGTAGCCTACATATAGATGATTTTTTTCATATGGAAAAATACACGTTTTAATGTTTTGACCAGTTGATTGGTCGAAAGATTGGTCAACCAAGATTTGTTTTAATCAGGGACAGCCCTAGAGTCAGTACATGTTAGAATCACCTTTGGCAGCGATTACAGCTGTAAGTCTTTCTGGGTAAAGTCTCTAAGAGCATTGCACACCTGGATTGCCCATTATTCTTTTACAAAATCTTCAAGCTCTGTCAAGTTGGTTGTTGATCATTGCTAGACAGCCATTGCTAGACAGCCATTGCTAAACCCAGTTTTTCTCTAGGATTTTGCCTGTGCTTAGCTCTATTCCATTTCTTTTTATCCTAAGAAACTCCCTAATCCTTGCCGATGATAAGCACACCCATAACATGATGCAGCCACCACCATGCTTGAAAAATACTCAGTGATGTGTTGTGTTGGATTTGCAACAAACATAACACTTTGTATTCAGGACATATTTTTTGCAGTATGACTTTAGTGCCTTATTGCAAACAGGATGCATGTTTTGAAATATTTTAATTCTGTACAAGCTTCCTTCTTTTCACTCTGTCATTTATGTTAGTATTGTGGAGTATAACTACAATGTTGTTGATCCATCCTCAGGTATCTCCTATCACAGCCATTAAACTCTTGCAACTGTTTTAAAATCTCTGAGCGGTTTCCTTCCTCTCCGGCAACTAAGTTAGGAAGGGTGCCTGTAACTTTGTAGTGACTGGGTGTAATTAATAATTGCACCATGCTCAAAGGCATATTCAATGTCTGCTTTTTTTACCCATCTACCAATAGGTTCCCTTCTTTGCCAACCATTGGTAAACCTCCCTGGTCTTCATGGTTGAATCTGTGCTTGAAATTCACTGCTCGACTGAGGGACCTTACAGATAATTGTAAGTGTGGGGTTCAGAGATTGGGTAGTCATTTAAAAAATCATGTTAAACATTATTATTGTACACAGAGTGAGTCCATGCAACTTATTATGTGACTTGTTAAGCACATCTTTACTCCTGAACTTATTTAGGTTAACCATAACAAAAGGGTTGAATACTTATTGACTTAAGACATTTCAGCTTTTCATTTTTAATTAATTTGTAAACATTTCTAAAAACAAGATTTCACTTTGACATTATGGGGTATTGTGTGTAGATCAGTGACACACAATCTCAATTTAATCCATTTAAAATTCAGGCTGTAACATAACAAAATGTGGAAAAAGTAAATGGGTGTGAATACTTTCTGAAGGCACTGTAAACAAACATTGTGCATTAATGTTGAGCATCAATTGGCCCTTTGCTAAGCCCCGCCCCCCTTTGTTACTGTTGCAACCTCGGACAACATTTTCCCAGGAAGCCCAATTCCCCATTCAAACCACTGGCAAAATCCCCTCACATTGATCTCAAACTGTGTTTTGATACACAATTAAATTAAACACAGACTACCTCTTGCTAATCAGGAAACTCTCTGGTATGTCGTGATGGACTCTCATTACAATTACTTCATGGGAACCTGGTAAAGTTATGTTTGTAGCTAGTGTGGCTAGCCACTGAATGTCTCTGTCCGAATTCACTGTCAGCATGCAGTCAAAGCTTCTAACCACTTTTAGAGCTAACTACTACTCTCAAATCGTACCCTGATGTTGCCAGCAGATGGGAGAGGTATTCATAACATGTCTAATTTAGCTAGCTAACATACATTTTGTGAACAAGTTATATTAAGTGGCTAGCTAGCGTTATCAATGTTTGATGGTCAATGAGACTGAGAGCTGATTTGCTTACCAATTGAGCTAGCAAACAATGTAACAAAAGCATAATTTCGTATTCAAAAAATACTCCATCAACAGGCAATGCATTTCAGGAATCACAGTAGCAAGTACCCCTAGTGCACTGTTCAATTATTTAGTCATAACCACTCGGAGTGAAGAAAACTCTTAGTTTTCCCACTGCCCTCACTGGCTTTCATGTGTTTAAAACGTGAGCTTGTCCGAGGTGTTAGACCCGACGACAGTTGCTATCCACTGGTTGTGCAAAATTCTGTGGTGGGGCTTAGCGAAGGGTCAATTAACATGCTAGTGTATTTGACTGCAAAGTTATTTTAAATATTAATTCATTGGCTCTTTTAGTTTTAGTGGTAATATAGTCTCATTTGTTCTGTAAATAAATAAGCTGAACCAACCCCTGCTCTGCAAACACAGGACAAGGACAAGGTAGGTCCTCCCCTCGTGTGAAAGGTGTCCGTAACAGGGCACAGCCTTTACCATAAATATACTAATGCTCTACACATATAGTTAATCAGTGAAACTAACTTGTTATAACACTTAGCAAAGAGTCAAATATGCAAGGCGATATGGTCCAAATATCATATCACAATATTTAAAAAATGTTTGACGGTATGACAGTATTTGACAGTATTTTGTGATTTGAATAATAAAAGTTCTAAATATGCTTAAGTTCTTCTAAATATGAATAGTTCAGGACATTTCAATGGGGCTTTCTCCATTCTGATTGGCATATACAGTGGGGAAAAAAAGTATTTAGTCAGCCACCAATTGTGCAAGTTCTCCCACTTAAAAAGATGAGACAGGCCTGTAATTTTCATCATAGGTACACGTCAACTATGACAGACAAAATGAGGAGAAAAAATCCAGAAAATCACATTGTAGGATTTTTAATGAATTTATTTGCAAATTATGGTGGAAAATAATTATTTTGTCAATAACAAAAGTTTCTCAATACTTTGTTATATACCCTTTGTTGGCAATGACACAGGTCAAACGTTTTCTGTAAGTCTTCACAAGGTTTTCACACACTGTTGCTGGTATTTTGGCCCATTCCTCCATGCAGATCTCTTCTAGAGCAGTGATGTTTTGGGGATGTCGCTGTGCAACACGGACTTTCAACTCTCTCCAAAGATTTTCTATGGGGTTGAGATCTGGAGACTGGCTAAGCCACTCCAGGACCTTGAAATGCTTCTTATGAAGCCACTCCTTCGTTTCCCGGGCGGTGTGTTTGGGATCATTGTCATGCTGAAAGACCCAGCCACGTTTCATCTTCAATGCCCTTGCTGATGGAAGGAGGTTTTTACTCAAAATCTCACGATACATGGCCCCATTCATTCTTTCCTTTACACGGATCAGTCGTCCTGGTCCCTTTGCAGAAAAACAGCCCCAAAGCATGATGTTTCCACCCCCATGCTTCACCGTAGGTATGGTGTTCTTTGGATGCAACTCAGCATTCTTTGTCCTCCAAACACGACGAGTTGAGTTTTTACCTAAAAGTTATATTTTGGTTTCATCTGACCATATGACATTCTCCCAATCCTCTTCTGGATCATCCAAATGCACTCTAGCAAACTTCAGACGGGCCTGGACATGTACTGGCTTAAGCAGGGGGACACGTCTGACACTGCAGGATTTGAGTCCCTGGCGGCGTAGTGTGTTACTGATGGTAGGCTTTGTTACTTTGGTCCCAGCTCTCTGCAGGTCATTCACTAGGTCCCCCCGTGTGGTTCTGGGATTTTTGCTCACCGTTCTTGTGATCATTTTGACCCCATGGGGTGAGATCTTGCGTGGAGCCCCAGATCGAGGGAGATTATCAGTGGTCTTGTATGTCTTCCATTTCCTAATAATTGCTCCCACAGTTGATTTCTTAAAACCAAGCTGCTTACCTATTGCAGATTCAGTCTTCCCAGCCTGGTGCAGGTCTACAATTTTGTTTCTGGTGTCCTTTGACAGCTCTTTGGTCTTGGCCATAGTGGAGTTTGGAGTGTGACTGTTTGAGGTTGTGGGCAGGTGTCTTTTATACGGATAACAAGTTCAAACAGGTGCCATTAATACAGGTAACGAGTGGAGGACAGAGGAGCCTCTTAAAGAAGAAGTTACAGGTCTGTGAGAGCCTTTAATCTTGCTTGTTTGTAGGTGACCAAATACTTATTTTCCACCATAATTTGCAAATAAATTCATTAAAAATCCTACAATGTGATGTTCTGGAGAAAAAAATTCTCAATTTGTCTGTCATAGTTGACGTGTACCTATGATGAATATTACAGGCCTCTCTCATCTTTTTAAGTGGGAGAACTTGCACAATTGGTGGCTGACTAAATACTTTTTTCCCCCACTGTACTGTTAAATCTAATTATTTTCAGCATTTTCATCAATTTCTGCTTTTCCTACTCTTTTGTTATCATTTCCACACTGTGCCATGTAGGGCTGCATGATAGATCTAGGCCTAGTTTATTGGTAAACTGTTGGAATTTTGGAAATAGAATGATTCTTGTAATTCAATATTTGGAACATAGTGGGCAGCAATTTGAATACATTGTTGTTTGACATGACAACAAATGAATAAGCCAGGGAGGAATTCATGTGACAGGTAGGAACCAAAGTTTTGGTCAGTGTTTCCCAGGGGACACTATACGATTTTATATGACATGTTTTCTCATGTACCAAGCTATCTCTCTAGATAACATACAGTACCAGTCAAAAATTTGGAGACACCTACTCATTCAAGGGTTTTTCTTTATTTTTACTATTTTCTACATTGTAGAATAATAGTGAAGACATCGAAACTATGAAATAACACATATGGAATCATGTAGTAACCAAAAAAGTGTTAAACAAATCAAAATATATTTTTATATTCTTCAAATAGCCACCCTTTGCCTTGATGACAGCTTCGCACACTCTTGGCATTCTCCGAACCAGCTTTACCTGGAATGTTTTTCCAACAGTCTTGAAGGAGTTCCCACATATGCTGAGCACTTGTTGGCTGCTTTTCCTTCACTCTGCAGTCTGATTCATCCCAAACCATCTCAATTGGGTTGAGGTCGGAGGGTTATGGAGGCCAGGTCATCTGATGCAGCACTCCATCACTCTACTTCTTCATAAAATAGCCCTTACACAGCCTGGAGGTGTGTTGGGTCATTGTCCTGTTGAAAAAAAAATGATAGTCCCGCTAAGCCCAAACCAGATGGGATGGCGTATCGCTGCAGAATGCTGTGGTAGCCATGCTGGTTAAGTGTGCCTTAAATTCTAAATTAAACACAGACAGTGTCACCAGCAAAACACCCCCACACCATAACACCTGCTCCTCCATGCTTTACGGTGGGAAATACACATTGGGAGATCATCCGTTCACCCATGGTTGGAACCAAAAATCTCAAATTTGGACTCCAGACCAAAGGACACATTTCCACCAGTCTAATTTCTTGGCCCAAGCAAGTATCTTCTTCTTATTGGTGTCCTTTAGTAGTAGTTTCTTTGCAGCAATTCGAGCATGAAGGCCTGATTCACACAGTCTCCTCTGAACAGTTGATGTTGAGATGTGTCTGTTACTTGAACTCTGTGAAGCATTTATTTGGGCTGCAATTTCTGAGGCTGGTAACTCTAATGAACTTATCCTCTGCAGCAGAGGTAACTCTGGGTCTTCCATTCCGGTGGCGGTCCTCATGAGAGCCAGTTTCATCATAGCGCTTGATGGTTTTTGCGACTGCACTTGAAGAAACATTCAAAGTTCTTGAAATGTTCCATATTGACTGACCTTCATGTCTTAAAGTAATGATTGACTGTCGTTTCTCTTTGCTTATTTGAGCTGTTCTTGCCATAATATGGACTTGGTCTTTTACCAAATAGGGCTATCTTCTGTATACTCCCACTACCTTGTCACAACACAACTGATTGGCTCAAATGCATTAAGAAGGAAATAAATTCCACAAATTAACTTTTAAGAAGGCACACCTGTTAATTGAAATGCATTCCAGGTGACTACCGTATGAAGCTGGTTGAGAGTGCCAAGAGTGTGCAAAGCTGTCATCAAGGCAAAGGGTGGCTTTTTGAAGAATCTAAAATTTGTTTGATTTGTTTAACCCTTTTTTGATTACTACATGATTCCATGTGTGTTATTTCATAGTTTTGATGTCTTCACTATTAGACTACAATGTCAAAATAGTAAAAATAAAGAAAAACCCTTGAATGAGTAGGTGTGTCCAAACTTTTGACTGGTAGTGTACATCTCAAACAGTATACTACAGTACTTCCACTGACAGTGTGAATCTGGCTTTTGGCGTTGGCTCCACATAGTGTTCCCCAGAGCCATGCGTGGTGCTCCCAAAACAAAAAAAAACAAAATACCCAAACACATCCTGACGTGAATGGGACTGATGACAACAACAACATGAAGGCATGAAATGAAAAGTGAAATGTTAAAAAGCAGAACAACGCAAATCACTGTTACTCTCTCTCCCTCTCTTGTATCTTCTCTCTCTCCCTCTCCCTCGCCCCTCTCTCTCTCTCTCTCTCTCTCTCTCTCTCTCTCTCTCTCTCTCTCTCTCTCTCTCTCTCTCTCTCTCTCTCTCTCTCAGACAGATGCGCAGCAAACCATGGGCAATGGATCAAGCACATCTAAGTCCCAGAGAGCTTCCAGAAATAACCCAGTCAGTGAGTGGTGTCTCTCCCAATGAGCACTATCTGTCTGCATTACCCACACTTTGTTATGGGACCACAACAACACGCTATTCTCTTACACAACACTGCTCTCTCTTCCACTGACTAAGTGAGACACAGTTAAATTGGTATGAGAATAAAAGAGCGAACTGTGAGATGTAAGATATTGTATATACGTTTTGGTTAAGGCAAGCTCATACATTTTATACTTTTTTAACTTGGAGGAGTTGGGGGGTGCATAACTTTGAGAATGTGGAGGGTGGTTGTGTGTATTGACTGGGCTACACTAGTTTATCCAGCCGGTGTGAGTGGCCTAATCTCTGACCCTTGGTGACTTTAGCTCTCTTTGCCAGGCCAGCCACTGACAAACAAAAGCTGGATGACTGTCACAGCGGCTTTATGTCAAGCAGTGATCCTGTGCTGCTGAAAACAAGATGACCAAAGTGTCACATTACGCTGGCCTACTTTTTACATGGCTGACTGTTCTGTTTTGGTTGTTCCATGGTTATAACAATCACTCATGTCACTTGTCAGTAACAAAATCATTATCCTCTGGGCTCTTTCTCTCCTTTGACTGAACAGTGTGTTTGTGTGTGTGTGTGTGTATGTGTGTGTGTGTGTGTGTATATATGTGTGAATATAAGAGAAAGAGAGAGAGAGAGAGAGAGAGAGGGGGGGGGGGGGGGGGGGTGTTCAAGGCAAGGTCCCATCCCACCGTTTCCCAGTCTTTCATTGAATAATTGAAAAGTTGTGTGCACATATTATAACTATAACAGATGAACTATAGCTCTGCTTCTCTATGTGTTTCGGAATAATTACTTTAAAATAGATTAGAACACCTACCTTGTCGGACAGTTTTCAACCTGATGGGACCCTTGCAACTCTTCATTAGAGTCCAGATGTCATAGAGGGGTAATCCAGACACCGAGAGACCCTCAACTTCCACCAGTAACTCCCCCTCGGACAGATGTCCGTTTTTATAAACCAACACATCCTCTCTGACTTCCCCGATGTAGGGAAACTCTCCGTTCTCTGCGCCACCGCGCAGCTCCACATTCAATTCACCGCGAGCATCCCGACTCACTGCACACTCTTTAACTTTGGTGATCCAGTGGTTTTTCTTCTGGATTACTTTTGACATGATGATTAGGATCCAGACGACACCCGTTAGTACCACCGGATGACTCAACAACCAGGTGACACATAACACTATGTCGCTTTCGAAACCCAGAAAACTTTCGGTTGCTTGAAGGTGATTTCAGATTGGATCATTTTCGCACTTCTTTTAAACCAAGCGATAATGTTCCTCTGGCGCAGCTGTCCGGTCTACACATCCCACATTAGGATCAAATACTCAGATGTTGTTGGCTTCTCATATTCTTTAATAGCCTAACATGCACGCTACCTGATCCCAGGAGTCGATCTAATCCGAACTCCGATTGGCCGCTTTACTTTCACTAAAGTCAAGAATCTCCTGCCACGTTAGCCTACTTTGACCCTTGCTCCCATTTATTTCTTCAAGAATACCCTCTCATAAACAGTTACTTTTACCTGTCTTGTGAGTCGAGAAAGCTGTTCACACAGCCCGCTGCGCCTTTAAGCAGGTAACATGACAGCTCATCCTATATTGCTCCTGCGATCGTGCTCTGGCGATAGCAAAGGGATTGCATGCGTCCTGCCAGTCTCCCACTGGAGCGCACTGGAGAAGGGAAATCCTCCTTGACTACACATATTATTACAGGGTCCTAATGCTCCACTAACTCTTTATCCACACGCATTTCTGCCTTGAAAACAGCATTAAAGATCCAGTGCAGTCAAAAACGTGTTTTCTGTTTACATACACCTTAGCCAAATACATTTAAACTCAGTTTTTCACAATTCCTGACATTTAATCCTAGTAAAAATTCCCTGTTTTAGGTCAGTTAGGATCAACCACTTTATTTTAAGAATGGGAAATGTCAGAATAATAGTAGAGAGAATTATTTATTTCAGCATTTATTTATTTCATCACATTCCCAGTGGGTCAGAAGTTTAAATACACTCAATTAGTATTTGGTAGCATTGCATTTAAAGTGTTTATCTTGGGTCAAACGTTTCGAGTAACCTTCCACAAGCTTCCCACAATAAATTGGGTGATTTTTGGCCCATTCCTCCTGACAGAGCTCGTGTAACTGAGTCAGGTTTGTAGGCCTCCTTGCTCGCACACGCTTTTTCAGTTCTGCCCACAACTGTTCTATAGGATTGAGGTCAGGGCTTTGTGATGGCCACTCCCAATACCTTGTCTTTGTTGTCCTTAAGCCATTTCGCCACAAGTTTGGAAGTATGCTTGGGGTCATTGTCCATTTGGAAGAACCATTTGCGACCAAGCTTAAACTTCCTGACTGATGTCTTGAGATGTTGCTTCAATATATCCACATAATTTTCCTTCCTCATGATGCCATGTATTTTGTGAAGTGCACCAGTCCCTCCTGCAGCAAAGCACCCCACAGCATGATGCTATTTTTGTTTCATCAGACCAGAGGACATTTCTCCAAAAAGTACGATCTCTGTCCCCATGTGCAGTTGCAAACCTTAGTCTGGCTTTTTTATTGCGGTTTTTGAGCAGTGGCTTCTTCCTTGCTGAGCGGCCTTTCAGGTTATGTCGATATAGGACTCGTTTTACTGTGGATATAGATACTGTTGTACCTGTTTCTTCCAGCATCTTCACAAGGTCCTTTGCTGTTGTTCTGTGATTGATTTGCACTTTTTGCAGCAAAGTACGTTCATCTCTAGGAGACAGAACGCGTCTCCTTCCTGAGCGGTATGACGGCTGCGTGGTCCCATGGTGTTTATACTTGCGTACTATTGTTTGTACAGATGAACGTGGAACCTTCAGGCATTTGGAAATTGCTCCCAAGGATCAACCAGACTTGTGGAGGTCTTTTTTTTTTTTTCTGAGGTCTTGGCTGATTTCTTGATTTCCCATGATGTCAACCAAAGAGGCACTGAGTTTGAAGGTAGGCTTTGAAATACATCCACAGGTACACCTCCAATTGACTCAAATGATGTCAATTAGCCTATCAGAAGCTTCTAAAGCCATGACATCATTTTCTGGAATTTTTCAAGCTGTTTAAAGGCCCAGTCAACTTAATTTATGTAAACTTCTTACCCCCTGGAATTGTGATACACTGAATTATAAGTGAAATAATCTGTCTGTAAACAATTGTTGGAAAAATGACTTGTGTCAAGCATAAAGTAGATGTCCTAACCGACTTGCCACAACTATAGTTTGTTAACAAGAAATGTGTAGAGTGGTTGAAAAACGAGTTTTAATGACTCCAACCAAAGTGTATTTAAACTTCCGACTTCAACTGTATACCCTGAGTATACAAAACATTAAGAACACCTTCTCTATCCATGGCATAGACTGACCCGGTGATTCCAGGTGAAAGCTATAATCCCTTATTGATGTCATTTGTTAAATTCACTTCAATCAGTGTAGATGAAGGGGAGGAGACAGGTTAAAAAGGGATTTTTAAACGTTGAGACAATTGAGACTTGGATTGTGTACAGTGCCTTGCAATAGTATTCATCCCCCTTGGCATTTTTCCTATTTTGTTGCAATACAACCTGTAATTTAAATGGATTTTAATTTGGATTTCATGTAATGGACATACACAAAATAGTCAAAATTGGTGAAGTGAAATGAAAAAAATGACTTGTTTCAAACAATTCTAAAAGAGAAATAACGGAAAAGTGGTGCGTGCATATGTTCACCTCCTTTGCTATGAAGCCCCTAAATAATATCTGGTGCAACCAATTACCTTCAGAAGTCACATAAATAGTTAAATAAAGTCCACCTGTGTGCAATCTAAGTGTCACATGATCTGTCACATGATCTCAGTATATACAGTGCCTTGCAAAAGTATTCATCCCCCTTGGCGTTTTTCCTATTTTGTTGCATTACAACCTGTAATTTAAATGGATTTTTATTTGGATTTCATGTAACGGACATACACAAAAGAGTCGAAATTGGTGAAGTGAAATTTAAAAAATAACTTGTTTCATAAAATTCTAAAAAATAAATAATGGAAAAGTGGTGCGTGCATATGTATTCACCCCCTTTGCTATGAAGCCCCTAAATAAGATCTGGTGCAAGCAATTACCTTCAGAAGTCACATAACTAGTTAAATAAAGTCCACCTGTGTGCAATCTAAGTGTCACATGATCTCAGTATATATACACCTGTTCTGAAAGGCCTCAGAGTCTGCAACCCACTAAGCAAGGGCAAGGGGCACCACCAAGCAAGCAGCACCATGAACACCAAGGAGCTCTCTAAACAGGTCAGGGACAAAGTTGTGGAGAAGGACAGATCAGGGTTGGGTTATAAAAAAATATCAGAAACTTTGAACATCCCACGGAGCACCATTAAATACATTATTAAAAAATGGAAAGAATATGGCACCACAACAAACCTGTCAAGAGAGGGCCGCCCACCAAACCTCACGGACCAGGCATTAATCAGAGAGGCAACAAAGAGACCAAAGATAAGCATGGTGGTGGCCGGAAGACGTGTGTAAACAGGGCCTCCGCAGTCTGCAGGGCCGTGGGGAGATCGGGCAGAGGAAGGAGGCGGCAGGCTATGGAAAAGCGGTCCACAACGACCAGGATGGTGGTGTTACCTTGAGAGAGGGGAAGATCAGTAAGGAAGTCAATACAGAAGTGGGACCATGGCTGTTGTGAAACTGGTAAGGGCTGTACCGAGCAGGAGGAGACATACACCCTCACGTCCTTAGCCAAGGTAGGCCACCAGTACTTTCCGGTCAGGCAGTACGACCTATACCTGGGTGACCAGAGTAGGGGGACGTGTGTGCCTGTTACGTGTGACATGTTTTTCTTTCTCCCAATCTTCCTTTGTAGTGTGTGTGTGGTTCAGAGTGGTTGTTCTGTTTGTGTGTTCTGGTTATTACAGGTGTGCTGATTTGCGGCTGACGATGGTGGGCGTGGCTTCGGTCCGGAGTCCTGGCAGCTGTGGTTGAGTGACTGATTGACTAGCGTATATAAACTGTTTGCCGTGTGAGCTCAAGAGAGAGAGAGGGCAGTTTTTGTTTGGCTGTTTGTCTGAGGATTTGGTTATTGGTTGTTGGTTGTTTTGATTTATCTTTGTTTGTGTTTCAGCCTGTCCTCCTGCTGTATTCCACCCTACCTAGGTCCTGGAGAAGGGAAATGTAGTTCTGCCCATGGGTGTACATTCACAAGTAGATAACCCACTGTTTTACACACTAGGTTAGCGGGCAGGTGTCACCCCTGTATTTGTGGTAACAGGTAGGAAAGCGGGTTAAGGCATGGTTAGGAAGGATTAGGTGTGTAGAAGAGGAGGGACCTTTTGTTTATTTTCATTACTTGGACCCCGTTCCCAAACATTCCCTTCTCTTACCATCCCTAGTTTGTTTGATTGGTCTTTGTTTTATTACTGTTTCATTATGGGAGTTGTATATTATTTTGTTTAGTACCTTACAAAACATCCCCAGAGGGCTAACATTGAGTTCTGGTTGTTGTCTGGTGATTTTAGTTAGTTACACCCCACATTTCTTCCCCATCCATCTAGTTTACATTTGTCACGCCCTGGCTCTGGGGACTCTAGTATGTTGAGCCAGGGTGTGAGTTTTCATTCGTTTTTTGTTCTAGTTTTGTAGTTCTATGTTGGCCAGTGTGGTTCTCAATCAGAGGCAACGTGTATCAGCTGTTGCTTGTTGTCTCTGATTGGGAACCATACTTAAGCAGCCAGTTTTCCCACAGTGTTTGTGGGATCTTGTTCCTGTATAGGTTTGTGTTTTGCACCTTTGGACGTCACGTTATCGTTTGTTGTTTTTGTTCGTGTTATCATTCAAATTAATAAAATATGTTCACCTTCCACGCTGCGCCTTGGTCCTCTGTACCCGACGATCGTGACAACATTGTGTGCGCAGGCACGGGGCATTTACGTCTCCTCCTCAGACGAGCTACACCCGAGGGGAGAACGTAACAGTGCCCAATAGATCAGACGGTCACGGACAAGAGAAGGCATGTACTGCAGCCCAGCTGGACACTGAGGTGGAGATGGCTCTGTGCGTAGCGCCCGCTATATGTCCGCGTCCATCGCCCACACTACCGGCGCCACAA